GGTCTTCATCCTGTCTAGACAGGGTTGGTGGAAGAAGATGGGGATAAGACTCTTATGGTTCAGTTGTTGTTGTTGTTTGTTGTTGAGTGCCATCGAGTCGGGTCCGACCCATAGCGACCCTGTACAGGGTTTCCGAGGGTGTAAATCTTTACGGGAGTAGAAAGCCTCATCTTTCTCCCGCGGTGTATCAAATAATGCTTGCCAATTCAAGTATCATACAGTCAGTTTTGACCTATAGCAAATCTGTGTCAGGTTTCCTAGGAGCAGCTATGAGCTTGAACCACCAAACTTGTGGTTCAAACCGACATTGCAGTCCAGTGCATTAACTCGCAGCACTACACTAGGACTCCATTTTACCCATAGAATCCTTCAATATTGCAACCTGAGACCTGAATTTTGTCTTCAGTTCTTTCAGCTTGAGAAATGCCAAACATGTTCTTTCCTTTTGGTTTTCTAGCTCTAGGTCTTTGCATATTTCATTATAATACCTTATTTTATCTTCTCAAGCTGCCCTCTGAAATTGTATGCTCAGCTCCTGCTCCAGTTGCTTTATCTCCACTGGACTCAAGAACAAGATTCAGGGTCTCTTCTAACATTTGTTTGGGTCTTTTCTACCTTTTCTATCTTTTAAAGGACCTTTTGTTTACTTCATGGATGATTTAATTGATGTCAGCCCACAGCTCTCCTGGTTTTCTATCATTGGTGTCTAATGCATCAAATCTATTCTTGAGGTGGTCTTTAAAACCAATTGCAATATATTCAAGAACATATTTTGGCTCTGGTGGACTTGTTTTCGTTTTTGTCAGCTACAAACTGAACTGGTATGTGGGCAATTGATGGTCTGTTCCACAGTCTGCCCTTGACTTTGTTTTGGCTGATGATACTGAGCTTCTCCATTGTGTGTTTCCACCAGTGCAATCAATTTGATTCCTGTGTATTCTATCTGGTGAGGTCTGCATGTATAGTAGTCATTTATATTGTTGAAAAAGGTATTTGCAATGAATAAGTTGTTGGGCTTGAACATTTCTATCATGTGATCTTTGGTATCATTTCTATTACCAAGGCCATATTTTTCAACTACTGATTCTTCCTCTTTGTTTCCAACTTTCACCTTCCTCTCATAAGACTATCAATACATAGTGATTACATGTTTGACCGATTTCAGGCTGAAGAATTTGATAGAATTCTCCAGTTTCATCATCGCTGTCTTTAGTGGTTGGTACATAAATTTTAATAATAATCATATTAATTGTTCTTTCTTATAAGTGTACGGATATTAGCCTATCACAGACAACATTGTACTTTAACACAGATCTTTAAGTGCTCTTTTGGATTATGAATGTGCTACCCTTCCTCTTGAATTTGTCATTCCTAGTATAGTGGTTATGAGTCGGCTAGCCAACCTCAGGTCAGCAGTTTGAAACTACCAGCGGTTCCACGTGAGAAAGATGAGGCGTTCTGCTCCCATAAAGATTTACAGCCTCAGAAATCTTATGCAAGGTCACTATGAGTTGGAACTGACTCCATGGTACTCAACAACAACAACCAACAACAAGTATAGTTAGCCACATGATTGTTCAATTCACAATGACTGATACCTGTCCATTTCAGCTCATTATGTCTAGGTTATTGATCTTTATGTGCTCTATTTCAATTTTGATGATTTCCAGTTTTCCTAGATTCAGCCTATGTACATTCCACTTCCAGATCATTAATAAAGTTTTGCAATTGTTTCTTCTTATTATGAATTGAAGGTCTCAAATGAAGATCCTGAAAACTTTATTCCATTCACGTCATCCCAGTCAGCTATACTTTGAGGAGGCAGCTCTTCCCCCAGTTGTATTTTGAGTGCCTTCCAACTTGAGGGCTCATCTTCTGGCATTAACTATATCACAGTTATCCACTGTTATTCATAAGCTGGCATTTCAGTGGTAACCTTTCCTAAATGGTCCACGGGTGACCCTGGTGAGATAAAAATACCAGCGGTATAGCTTTCAGCATCACTAGAACACTCAAGCCAACAGAGGATGAGAAAATGACAGATGAGTGTTGAGCAACTATGTTAAATTCCTATATTCACTTAAGATGTTTCCTTGTGGACTTTCTGAGTTTTCTATATATTTAATTATGCCATCGATGAATACAGACAGTTTTACTCCTTTTTCTATTTAGATATTTTATTTCATTTTCACGTCTCATTGCTCTGACTAGGACTTCTAATACATTATTGAACAGAAGTGATAAGAACACACAACCATGTCTTATTCCCAATTTCAATGAAAAAGCTCTCAGTCTTTCTCCATTAAGTATAATGTTGGCTACTGGCTTTAAACATGGTCTGAATCGTATTGATGAATTTCCCTTCTATTCCAGGCTTTAGAACCCTAGTTTGGTGCTATATATAGTATAAGCACTTGACTGCCAACTGCAATTAGAGGTTCAAACTCAACAACTCTCAGAAACCCTACACAGGGTTGCTATTAGTCAGAACCAACTAGATAGCACAATAAAAACAGCAACTCTTTAGGGTTTTCATCAATAAAAGATGCTAGATTTTACTGAATAGTTATTCTGTAATCATAAAGATAATCATGTGGTTCTTTTCCTTTGTTCCATTTCTGTGGCATATTAAATTGATGACTTTCTCTGGATTCCTAGAATAATTCCACTTGGTCGTGGTATATGACTCTTTTAATATGCAGTCCGACTCTTTTTGCTAGCCTTCTGTTGAACATTTCTATATCTATATTCATAAGTAATGTTGGCTCGTAGTTTTCTTTTCTTTATCTGGTTTGGGTATCAGAGTTATGTTTGTTTCATACAATGAATTAGAGTGTTTTCCTTTGTCTCTATCTTTTGGTAAGGATTAAACAGTATTTGCATCAAGATGTGTAAATGTACCATTGAATTCCCCAGAGAAGCCATCTGTTTTTTGTTTGTTTGTTTTGAAAGGGTGGGAATCTATCAGTTATCTGATCTTGTCACCTATTGAATCAGTTTGGGTAGGTTGTGTGGAGATTGCTGCAGCAAATCACTGTAGACTTGCAGCCAACAGTATCCATGCTGGAGAGGGGCTGACACACTCCAAACATGCCCCTGGAAATGTCTATCTTGTGGATTTTCGAACAGACGTTTGGGATTCTGTCTTTTTAAAAGACAGGCAGTGTGATAGGCTACTTATTCTAAGGCTGCTTCTGCAGCTATCAGAAGCTGCTGGCTTCCACCTTTGCAGGGAGGGGCAGGGACAGTGGGGAAAATGATTTCCCTGTCAGAGCTGATTCTTGCCTGTCTAGTTTCCTGGTTCAGAGTCCCTCTGAGTCAAGAGCTGTTTCCTTATTGTATTTCTTGATATATTTGTTGGGATGAATTGGAATGATGGCTTGTTTACAGTGTCATCTTCCCAGAATTCCTAAAATCTTTTAACTAGATAGTTTTCGACTACTCATAAAATGAAAAGTAGGTTTATATGCCATGGCTGGCTGACTGTGTGCCGTGGAGTCGGTTCCGACTCATAGCGACCCTGTACAGGGTTTCCGAGGCTGTAAATCTTTACAAGAGCAGACCGCCTCATCTTTCTCCTGTGGAACAGCTGGTCGTTTTGAACTGCTGACCTTGTGGTTCGCAGCCCGATTCATAACCACTACGCTACCAGAGCTTATATGCCATAATGGTAAGAAAATATGAAAAAAAAAAAAAAAATGTGCGCACCAATAAATATATCAAATGAAAGCAACACATGTCCCTAATTTTGTTGGTGTACTTCGTATGTGTAGCTTAGAATCTTATTCAGTATTATAAAAGAAATACAAATTAACAATGAGTAAATTACTTCAACTAAGGAGCTCTGATAGCGTAGTGGTTACGAATCGGGCGGGCTGCAAACCTTAAGGTCAGCAGTTCGAAACTACCAGCCGCTCCGCGGGAGAAAGATGAGGCTTTCTACTCCTGTAAGGATTTACACCCTCGGAAACCCTGTACAGGGTCGCTATGGGTCGGAACCGACTTGACGGCACTTAACAACAACAACAACATAATTCTAGTATAGTTATTTAAGATTTTTAAGAACAAAGAGTTAAGGGGAAAAAGAACACACACAAAACTCTTTGAACGGTTTTACCCCATAATGGCACAAAATCGATATATGAAGAAGATTTCAATCTCATGCAATATAGTATTATGAAATTTCCTGTCTTCCCATTCACAAAATGTTTTCCCAGTTAGGCAGCTATAATCAATTTGGCAAATGAATGCCACTTTAAATGTTCACTTAATTGCACTTCCCCAAAACTTAATCTCTTTTAACAAATGAATCTCTAAGAGAGTTTTGTTGGACAAAGCAGGCACATTTACTCTTTCCCAGCTCTTGAACAGCAAGAACCTCAACACCCATCCATGATTGCTGTCTTTTAAATCAGTTATCTGTATGTTCTTTCAAGCCTAAGGCAGTTGTAAAAAGAGGAAAGTTCTAGAAGTGTATTTTCATAATGATTTTCATGTAAAGAAAAAGCCAAACCCAATCACTGTGTGAAATGAAGCAGGAGATATGTGTAGGGAACAGAAGCCGACTAACAAACTGGAAAATGTGACAGCCACATAGGTAGCTTGTGTTTGTATCACGCTGGTCCCCTTCCCTGCAGCGCCTTGTTTACTGAAAGTCAGCAGTGATTGTTACCTGTCACCCAGCCAGTGACAGGCGAGCACATGGCGCTCTGCAGGGGCCATTGCATACAAGACTGGAGAAACTCAAGTTAACGAGCATGATTCTCATTTACACCTCCACGCATGCGCCTGTGATTTACCTGGTGTCTTCTCAGAAAATAAAACAGGGCGAGGAATATTACTTGTTACAGCAAGCACACATACACAATGCTTTGAAATCTGTTTGTCGGGAAACTCAGATTCCATTCTCAGACTTTACTGGAACTTAAAGCCTTCCCGTTTGGCTAATTGGATAGATGAAGTCTTATGAAGGCCATCCGCTGGGATAACAACGGCGGTCCTGACAAAGCCAGGAACAAGAGAGTTAAGGAATTTTGGATGCTTCACCCTTTGGGTCCAATTAAATTTTAGTGCCAGTTAATTAGCGGTTAAACTTATTTCAGATCATCCATCTAGAGAAAGTACCTTATGGAAAAGACTATGATGTTGCAATTACCTTTGCTTAAAGGAAACCAAATAATATTAAAAATCAAAAACAAATAGATGTTCTGTCTCATTAAAGGAGCTTTTCCTAAAATAAATTCTTTTAATAAAGTGAAAACAATTATCCTTTGTCCTCCAACTCCTCAAATGAAATGTGTGGACTTTTGTCACTGCTTATCTGCAGAAGGATTTGGTATTAATCTGCTTCATTAAAAATTAATGAGGGGTAAATCTACAGCTACTTAGCGTAATAGTCAGGCTAAATAGTGTTGATAACCGCTACTGTGTTCCATGTGACTGCTTCGATCCATTACCCAAAATAGCATCATCAAATTTCCAGATGTTGATCGCTGAAACTGCACTTCACTAAGGAGATGGAAGGGAATTTTGAAAACCAGAGCTATCTATGTCCCATGAGTGGATGTGTGAAGTGCTTGTAAATCTGAAGCCATACTTATGCTGGTGTTTGAGACCTTCTTATGGTTTTAGTCCTTGGTGGTTTAATGGGTTACAGGAAAGGTCATCAGTTGCGGCCCATCAGTGGAATGGTGGGAGAGGGGAAAAGATGAGGCTTTATGCTCCTGTAAATTTTGCCACCTTGGAAACCCTAGACAAGGTCACAGAGGAAGAGATGCAGCAGCAAGGATTCCACAGATAAAGTGCAGAGTTACAACAAATACCAAATCATTGCCAACTAATCCGTTTACATTATATGTTACATGTCATGTATATGCAGCTGCAGGATTACAGACATCTAACATAACACAACACTGAGCTACAAACCAAACCCCATAAAGTTTGTTGTATTAAAAATGTGATGTTCAAATGATTTGTAATAACAAATGAGTGATTTATTTGTGAAACATATTAAAACATTATTATTACTATATTGTTGTGGAGTCCTGGTGTGGCACTGTAGGATAAGCACAGGACTGCTAACTGCAAAGTTGGTCATTCCAACATACCAGCCACTCCTTGAGAAACCTACATAAGGTCACTTATGTGTCAGAATAGACTTAACCACAGCAAGTTATTAGTATGTTAGGGAAACATACAACCCTAAAAGTTGTATGTTTCCTAAAAGTTCAAACTTTTAGGAAACATACAACTTTTTTCTGAGAGAAACTGGTGGATTTGAACTTTTAACCTTGCAGTTAGCAGTCTAGTGCTTATCCTACAACATCACATCAGTCTCTAAAGATGTGTGCTGTTGTTGTTGTTAAGTGTTGTCAAGTTGGTTCTGGATCATAGGGACCCTGTATATGGTTTTTGAGGAGCAACTGGTGAATTTAACCTGTGGTTCAAATACATCTTGCAGTCGAATGCTTATCCTACAGCGTCATAGCAGAAATCCCAAAGATGGTTGGTGTTGTTCAGTGTCATCGAGTCCATTCCCATTCATAACAACCTAGTATAAGGTTTCTAAGAAGCGGCTGGTGAGCTTGAACTGCTGACCTGGTAGTTCAAACTGACTTGTGGTCCAGTGCTTTATCCCACACGCCATATTGTCTCTTTCATTTTTTTCTGCATAGAACGTTGCACTATATAACAAGACAAACATTTGACTAACATTAGATATAAGCATTACATAAATGTTGTGATGTATATATAAATTTGTCTTAAAGACAGATATAAGAACTGAATTCATTCGCCTTTGGGGAAGTGCTGCAATGCAACACGTTTGGAGGATAGTTACCCGGCCAATGTGATGACGGCTCGTATTCATTTCTTCTGGTACGAAAAACTGGTTCCACACCCAGCCACGCTTGGCTCTCAAATGAGATGGCACTGGCTGCTCAACTTCCGGTGTATTTGAATATTCTATGGCAGTCAGGCAGGGTCCTAGGAGAGGAACTCCAACCATAAAATGTATGAGAAAGCAACAGTTCATTCTGATGGCTCTTTTGATTCCAGCTGGAACTCTTCAGAGGAAATGGCTGATGGCATAAACATAGATCTTGTGTTCTCTTACAATCTGTTTTTCCTCTTAAGTGTATTTCATATTCCTTAAGTATAAGAGACAAAACAAAAGTTAACATAAGTAAAAATAGAATTTCCCCACTTAATTGCTACAGGTACATTACAGTTTTTGCAGTCTTACACTAGTGTGAATAAATGGGACAAGACATATACAAGATATGTATTTAAATTTTCTTTTAATTAAGCTAGTTAATTTTATTTTGTAGCTCAGCTATAATTTGATTGGAATAATTATACATTTTTACACAGGCACTGTTCATAGTAGCTCACTATGTCAAAAATCTGCCAGAAGGCTGAGACTTTGATCTTGCAAGGTCCTTGACTGACAGTTAACAATGAGAGAGTTGTGCTTTTGTTTGAATGTTTTAAAGCTAGCTTACTTCCACTTTTCTATCTTAGTAAAACTCAGCCTTTCTGGCTATAGCAGCAGTCAAGGGGTTGGCGAATGTCAGCTTTCTCCACTTTCTACTCAATAGAAATAATATCTCTCACCCAATTTCCTAAATTACAATATTTTATGTACTTAAATAAATTGATAAAAGGACAATTTACTTTAAAAGCTGGTGGAATGTATTAGTAAGTTAAAGTGATGCTATAAAACATTCTGAACAGAAAGCCTGTGCAAGATATTTACTTTGTTATATTATGAAAGACACAGGAAATAAGCATTTAACCTTAACAGAAAAATTAACTTATTTATAGAGATTAGATAAAAAATAATAGTGCCTAAGTAAAATTGGCTTACAGTTTATAACATGTGTGATGGAAATGAAGTGTCTTCTAATTTATGTCTCAGACATTATGCTTAATAAAGCAGAGGGTCAGCTCCTCAGAGTTGGGTTGGCAGAGTGGCTGTACCAATTGGCTCAAAGAGCAATGATTGCGAAGAGACAGCAGGGCAGGCTTGGTCACTATTAGCCAGCACCTAACAACAACAACGACAACATGCTATGTCTAAGTCCCTGGGGTGTATGCATGGAGTCCTGTTTTGCTGCTTTTGGATAATCACAAAGTTGTTGTTTCAAAGCCACCAGCCACTCCTTGTAAATCCTACACAGGGTTGCTATTTTTGTTGTTGTTAACTACCGTGGAATCAGTTCTGACTCATAGTGACCCTGTACAGGGTTTCTGAGGCTGTAAATCTTTACAGGAACAGAAAGCCTCATCTTCCTCCCAAGGAACAGCTGGTAGTTTAGAACTGCTGACCTTGAGGTTAGCAGCCCGATTCATAACCACTAC